GGGACCTCGGGCACGCCGTCCCAAGCTCCCGCTCCGCACATCATTCTCGGCGAGATGGAGAAGAGCATGAATGCGGTGCTCTCTGAAAATGCTCGTCCAAAACCACATCCGAAACAACCCAGCCGGCAGACACAAACTACGCGAATCCTGGAATCTCTTTCATCTAAAATCCAAACCGCGATCGTAAGCCTTCGGAACGCTGACCGCACGTCGGAGGAGACAGCCTCGCTGTGGGAAAAGGTGGATCACGCTTCGCGTGAGCTTGCAATAGTTGTCAACTCTTTGAAACCTCTCCCCGAAACCCCGGAGAGAGCACACCTCGTGGACGAGATGCGCCAGCTCGAATCCGAATTGAAAGAATTTACCACCACGCTTCCAAAAGATAAGCGGCCTCTCTATTACGACTCAGGTGAGGACATCAGACTTTCTCCCTTATTCTGAGCGCTGACTTGCACTTAGGCTACGCGTTGGACAATCCGATCCAACATCTCGATGTGATGGCCCAGATCATGATTCTACTCGGACTTACATGCAACATCATCCTCGGTCTCGCTATCGGCAACACCAACTTCATATTCGGCACTATTACGCTCTTGATCAAATTGGCCATGTCGGTGCACACGAAGCCGAAAGCAGATGGCAGCTACTCCTACGATGCTTTGCAGGAGGAGATACTCAAGGACCTACCTTCTAGTCTGTATACCGCAATGCAGCGCCTAAATCTGGATGGCAAAACAACTTTATATGCAGCCATCGTGCGACCACATCCATGCCCCCGCTCTTTCCCCATCTAAGAAACCAACATGGCCCGAGGAATGTGAAAACAAGATCGTCGGAGACGATGGTCGATCGAAATGCGCGACGGCCTTGTTGGTTGACAGTAAAAGTCACCGGCGTCCCATCAAACCCTTCCTTTCTCATTCATTCCTCGACTATCTTGCCCGCCTGCTCTCCACTCCAGAAATTGAGAAACAGATGGACGAAACTTGCGACGAGGCGCTGTCCTGGAAGAAGCAGGGTGGCGCGGAGATGGTGGATGATGTGTTTCATGGCATAGTCATACAGGAGTTCAAGGGACCCGACGGCAATCTCTTCATTGATCGAGGGAAAAATAAGAGAATGAGGCTCCTCTTCGGCTTCAGCTTGGACTTCTTCCCGCCTCATGGCAGTAGGAAGCGTTCAAGCTCTGCTTCCATTGGCGTGCTCTACGCATATTGTCTCAATTTACCACTTCTAATCCGCCACAAGCCTGATAATACATGGCTTTCAATTATCACCGGCCCCAAGGGACCCCACCAAGAGCACCTGAACCCGTACCTTCGACTTATGGTCGATGTTGGTGTTGTTGGGTGGGAACGTGGCATCCACCTCTCCAAAACTGGGGCCAGTCCGAAATCTGGGCGGATCGTGGATCTCGGCTTCGTCCTCTCCGTCAATGATCTGCCTGCAGCCCGCGACGTCACAGGCTCGACTCAGCATAACTCGCACATTTTGTGCACCGTTTGCGAGTGTCGTGGACGCAAACACGCGTACAGGATTGACTGCGAGAACTGGAAGCTCAGAGACGTGGATCATATGCGTGCACAAGCTGAAGCTTGGAGGGATGCCGAAACCAATGCTGAGCGCGCAAAGATCTACGGAGAAGATGGGCTGTGCTGGTGTGAGCCGTGGAGGCTTCCGTACTGGAACCCGCCCCGCAGCGTTACCGGTGAACCCATGCACATCGTTTTCGAAGGACTAATGTCATTCCATTGTCGTCACGTCATTCGGCTCAATGCTCTCGACGCAGCAAAGCCTGAAGAGCTTCCGCCTGCTTTCAGCTTCAATTTTCTCGAGTTCAATCCAGAGACCACGACAGCTCCGCCCAAATGTAGACCCACATGCCCGAAGGAAGAAAAACAGATCATGGCTGTTCACCATCTTCTTGTCTGTTCGTTTACCGAACCAGAGAACGACAACGATGACAGCGACGACCGCAGCGACGACGCTGACACTGACAGCCACGGCGACAGCGGCAGCGGCAGCAAACGAGAAGAATTCACCGTAGAACTGTTACATAAGAGATTGATGCAGAAAAATAAACCTGCTCTTCTATTTGTCTGTTGGTCCCTCCGCCTGTGCGGAACAAACTGGAGTCAGCTTTCGCTCGGAGACTGCCTAGTGAGACTGACGAAGGACGATCTGGCGCAGCTGCTAGTGACCTGGGTAAGTCGGGTTCGTGAAACCGAGCCTCACGAAGACTGATTTATATGCCACCAGCGTTTGAAGCAACCATTCAAGGACCCCAACTACGTTCCTCGCCCAAAGACGATTTCCAAGGATGATCTCCGGTTCGTCCAAGAAGTTATCGCGAATACCACCACTCCTGCGTGGGTTCATCACGTCCCCAAAAACTTTGGAGAGAAGGGAGCTGGCTCCATCAAGGTGGACGAGTGGCGTCTTTATGCCACGATATATTTTCCGATCGCTCTCGTCATCCTTTGGGGGGAGCAAGTAGGGAGCAACACAGCTCATTTCGCCGAGCTCCTCCAACACAGTATGGCACTGTTTCAAGCCGCAACAATCATTTCCCGTTACACAACCTCGAAGGCACACGCCACGGCGTGCCGGGACTTCATCAAGCATTGGCTTGGAAACCTGCAAACCCTATTTTCTCATACGAAGACTCCCAGAACCAGGACAAACCCTCACCTTGCGATGCACCTCTACGATTTCCTTCTCCTTTGGGGACCAGCATTGTCCTGGTGGGCCTTCCCCACTGAGCGCCTTATCGGTGTACTAGGCAAGATAAACACCAACGACCATCTTGGTGGTAGGTTTCTCTCCTTACGCTTGCAAAAGATTCTCATCAAAATTCTTTTCCAGGTGAACACGAAGCAACACTTCTCAATACTTGGATCCGCAGCGCAAATCTTCGTCGGTGGATCAATCGCCCCGATTGCCCAGCCGCCCTCCTCAAATTCCATCGCCTCTTTACTCTCCACTTCGGCCTCAACCTTGGAGATAGGTCGTCGGGGGATTCGAGTGTGAAGGCGGCCGGTGTGAAGGCGGCCGATATCCGCCCCGCGCATTATGAGCACAACGGGGTGAACTATTCCAGAGCCTCTACACATCTTGGGAACAGTCTCGTCATGTATGTCGAGCCAGCTTCTGGAAAGACTCGTGCAGGGAGCATTGAGGAGATCGTGATTGGCAAGAAAAAAAGTGGAATTCAACGTTCGACGCCAAGCCCCTCTTCCTCCGGGCAAGAACGATCTCTTCAAGATCTTCCCCCATTTTCCTGCAGAAACGTACTCATCGGAAATGTCGGCCGACGTTGACACCATCGATCCTCAATCCATCATCGGCCACTGTGCGCGCTTCAATTTCTCAGATGAGCGAGCAGTGATTGTAAATCTGTCAAGGGTATTCTCGTCGCTTTACTTGCCAGACTAGCATTGACACTTTTTTGCCAGGGGTAATTCGGAGTCAGCGGCAGGAATTTTTTTCTTCTTCTTCTATGTATACAACATTTTTTCACAATACTGTACTTTTAATACTAGAACACGATTGATTAAGCTGAACGACGGGATTTTAAGAACTTGATCGCGAGGGTACTTAAGAATTTTTGTTTTAACGACTAGATTGTCACGGGGTCACTTGTGACACCAGTCTTGTTCTCAACCACCACCACGTCAACGAGTGTTAATTGCTCGTTGCCGCTGGAGCTCGCCCCGACCACGCATTCAGGGAGACAGAATCGAGTGTCGACGTCGTTGCTCTCGATGTCGTCCCAGTGGTACCTTTGACCCGCTGCTGACCCTCCCCGAGTGTGAGTCGCTCGGCGCGGGTCTCAATCGCTTCTCAAGCTTCAAGACCTATCCTGTTGCTCTCCCCAGCCTCTGGCTAGTCGCGCGCTCGTCGGCACCACCAATCTTTCCTTCAAACTTAAGACCCTCGTCCTTTGACTTGGACCCTCCCCGAGTGTAGATCGCTTGGTGCGGGTCTGAATCACCTCACAAGCTCCAAAACCTATCCCTTTGCTCTTTCAAACATCTGGCTAGTCGTGCGCTCGTCGGCACCACCAATCTTTCTCTCAAACTTGTGACCCTCGTCATTTGACCTCTGACCCTCCCCGAGTGTGTGTCTCTCGGCGCGGCTCTCGATCGCTTCTCGAGGTCCAAACCCTACTCCGTTGCTCCCCCCAACATCTGGCTTATCCTGTGCTCATCAGCGCCACTCGAACTTGTGACCTTCGGCATTTGACCTTTGACCCTCCCCGAGTGTGAATCGCTCGGCGCATGTCTCAACCGCTTTCTGATCCTCAAAACCTCTCATGTTGCTCTCCGCGTGCGTCCTGAAGGGCTAGAGATTGCCCGAGGTCGGTTTTTTCTATGATCCGAGTTTGACGCATTTTGACCCTCCTCTCTTCCAGTTCTCTCAATTCAACTCTGAGCGGCACAAAGCTCTCGGGACCGGTGTCTAACATATGTCTTGAGCTTTTGGTAAGTCGCCTCCAGCTCCCACCCAGTACAAACACAGCTGATGCTTGATTTTCAGGTCGCCACAATTTTCGATATTCTTTCCAAGTCCGCGGTGCTAGGCCGTTAATCGACACTCGAAAATGATCAGTACACTCTCCGCGCCCGTGCTGGGCTGCAAGAGATTGCCTCCGGGTCAGTCTTTTTATGACCCGATTGTTGCGCATTCCGACCCATCCTCCCTTCCAGTGATGTCATCTCTACTCTGAGCAGCCCAAGGCTCTCGGGGCTAGTGTCTAATATATATATTGAGCTTTTGGTAAGTCGCCTTCGGTTGCCGCCCTCTACAAACCAAGCTGATGCTTTTATTTCCAGCTTCTTGGGGCTCATCATAAATTTCGCCGCTTTTCCCGAAGCTCGCGGCGCTAAGCCGTCAATCGAATGCCGCTGGTGTAGATCCCTCGTCCTACACCGTTTCTTGCCGACGGGACTAGTGGTTTTTTTTTTTTTAAACAAAATACCAAAAGACAGAAAACATAATAACCTGGCCCGGAATTGAACCGGGGACTTCCTCAGAAATCATACATACGCCATGGCCAATTCTCGAGGAATGTTGCCTCTACACCACCAGGTCCACGCTCCTGTGGGGCAGGGTCCTTCAGCGGAGAGGTTGTGTTGCCTTTTATTTTTTTTGGTGCCAAGGGTTCGATACGGATATGTATGTATGGTGCCTATTGGGATACGTTCGCCACGTCCCTGTAGCTCACTGGTCGAGTTTCTGCTTTAGATGAGGTATCTATTGTCGTTCGTTTAATCTGCAGACGCAGTGGGTTCGATTCCCACCAGGGTCAATTTTTTTCCCAGTGCACATTGGAACTCGTTTGCATCCTCGATTAATAATGTACCACATTTTTTTTTTGCAATGCTACTATTTTGATACTATGGCCATTGCCCGAGAACGAGTTATGGACTTGAACGATAATATATAGAGATGATGTATTTTTTACCTATATTGATTTGATTGTCACGATGTCACTTGTGACATCCAGCTTCTTCTCGACCACCACCACGTCAATGAATGTTAATCGCTCGTTGCCGCTGGAGCTCGCCCCGACCACGCATTCAGGGAGACAGCATCGAGTGTCGACGTCGTTGCTCTCGATGTCGTCCCAGTGGTACCTTTGACCCGCTGCTGACCCTCCCTGAGTGTGAGTCGCTCGGCGCGGGTCTCAATCGCTTCTCAAGCTTCAAGACATATACTGTTGCTCTCCCCAGCCTCTGGCTAGTCGCGCGCTCGTCAGTACCACCATCTTTCCTTCAAACTTATGACCCTCGTCCTTTGACTTGGACCCTCCCCGAGTGTAGATCGCTTGGTGTGGGTCTGAATCACTTCACAAGCTCCAAAATCTATCCCTTTGCTCTTTCAAACATCTGGCTAGTCGTGTGCTCGTCGGCACCACCAATCTTTCTCTCAAACTTGTGACCCTCGTCATTTGACCTCTGACCCTCCCCGAGTGTGAATCGCTTGGCGTAGGTCTCAATGGCTTCTCGAGGTCCAAAACCTACTCCGTTGCTCCCCCCAACTTGGCTAGTCCCGCGCTCGTCAGCGCCACTCAAACTTGTGACCCTCGGCATTTGACCTTTGACCCTCCCTAAGACTCCCCGAGTGTAGATCGCTCGGCGAGACTTTGAGTGGTCACAGAGGCTCCACCTGGACTGACTCTGGATATTACTACTGCGCGCCCCGGCTGCACCATATTTCTATTCGAAATCCGAGTAGAAATCATGACCCGTCTTCGACCCTCCGCGAGTGCAACTCGCTTCTGCGAGTCTTCCAGACGCTTTTGCAGCGTGAAATCATGCCATATGCGACTGCCTTGTCTCAGCGTTCCTCTGCCCATCGAGAGGCGCCAAGGTCAGTTTTTTTTGGTGAGCCGATATTCGCATTTTTGACCATCTTCCACTGCAGCCGCATCACCTTCAATGCCAGCCGCTCCAAACTCCCGTGGGTGGTGTATCAGTAGCACTTCGACCTTTTGGTAAGTTCCCGCGAGCTCCCGCCTGCTACACGCCGAGCTAATCCTTGAATATTCAGCTTCGCCGCCGGCTGATCATCAACATCAAAATTTTATTCGAATTCCAAGCCCCGCCTCAAATTAGTAGTACGTTGAACTTTTTGGTAAGTCCCCGTAAGCTTTTGCCTGCTAGACGCCGAGCTGATACTTGATTTCCAGATTTCATCCATAATTTTTAAGAATATTTTAATAAAATTATGAACTTGAGGACCAGTCGCGCCCGCCTCCCGCTCCCCGTGCCCGTCTCCCGTCTCCCACAAACCCGCGAGCGGCTTGGCCGTGCTGCGCACCTTGGCGCCACCGCGCGCTCCGTGCTTTTTCGGGCGCCGCTCCCCCACCCAAAACACCCGCAATCGAGGCGCGCGCTCTGGCGCCCAGCGCCACACGTGCCCGTGGTGCCCGCCGCCACCCGCCCTCGACGCTCATCGTGTCGGGCGGCGCGCCCCCAAAAAAACAAGCGCCCCGCGGGCGGCGCGCCCCCCAAAAACAAGCGCCCCACGAGCGTCGCTCGTTCGCGAGCGGCTTGTCCACGACGGCCATGTGCACAACGCGCACGCGCTGCGGCGCACAACGCCGCGCGCCTCAGCCCACGCCCCCGCTCCAACACCCAGGCCCTCCCCGCCACCTCCCGCCCTCGCCGCTCACCATTTCGGCCGGCGCGCACCCCAGAACAGGCGCGGGCGCGGCGCGGGCGGGGCACACGCCTCCGTTCCAACCCCCAGGCCCTCCCCGATGCCCTCGCTGGCATCGGGCTCGCCGCGCGCTGCCTCCCCGCCCCGTCCCGCCCTCGCCGCTCGCCGTTTCGGCCGGCGCGCACCCGAAAACAGTCGCGGGCGTGGCACGCGACTCCGTTCCGGCTCCCAGGCCCTCCCCGACGCCCTTCCCGGCATCGGGGTCGCCGCGCGCCGCCTCCCCGCCACCTCCCGCCCTCGCCGCTCGCCATTTCGGCCGGCGCGCACCCCAGAACAGGCGCGGGCGCGGCGCCCGACTCCATTCCGGCTTCCGGCCCCTCCGCCCTCGCCCTCCAATTCGACCTCGGACCCAGCTCCCTCGTCGAGGAAGGAGCCGACTCGAATAATGGAGGAGACAACGGATAAACTACGTAGGACAGCCCTATGTAAGTATTAACTCCAATGAATATATTATCCGTTCGCGCCGCGGACGGGTTGTTTCAATTCCCAATTATTATTTTTTTTCATTCTTGAACGCTCACCTAGGCTCCTCCTGTACCTATCCTATCCACGCGCTAGCTATATGAATACACTTGAATACACTTTTTCCTCGTATCGAGGTCATGTGGAGGGTTAGGGACCCGACCGGCGGGTGCACCTGGAGGTACACCTCAGGGTACACCTCAGGGTACACCCTGGGGTTATGCTGAAAGCATTTCTTTCAGCGCCACTTTTCTAAATTTCAGAAAGTCTTTCTTTCAGTGCTGCTGAAAGCGCCGCCGAAAGTCTTTCTTTCGGCACGGCTTTCAGCCGCGTAAGAAACAACTTCTTTCTTCTTTGTTGAAAATGGCTGCTGAGAGTTGATCTTTCAGCAGTCCTTTCGTACCTTACTGAAAGTGGATAAATTGGCGGCCTCTGAAACGGCCGCCAATTGTTCATTTTTCCGCGACACTTTCCAACCAAAAAGAAAGTACAGTTTTCTATTAATTTGAATTTGGTTACTGATTTACAAACTTTCGATTTACATCTTGACCTAGGTCAAGATAATTCTTTATCCGGTGTGATGCATCACTCTGCGCCGGTATGGCGCCGTGACACAATGTCGGTGTGACGTACCTGCGTCAGTTCAACATAGGTCCAGTTCAACCACAACTTGTCCCGACCTTGCCGTTCTGTCGCTCTATTCCAATCCCTCGACATCTGGAGACCAATTCAATCTCATAACAACTACTATCGGCGAGGGGTTAGTCGGCCACCCCCAGTGAGTCGGCCACCTGTGAATATTTTATCAAGGGTTAAGAAGTACAAGATTTTTGATCTTGAGGGACCATGTACAGCCTTATGAGACCTCTCATACCGAATTTCAGGCGAAGACGACGTGCGGATCAAAAGTTATGCGATGTCTGATCGGGATTCGAAGCGTGAGAACCACCATTTCTTAATTTGACCTTTCGGCCGATGCTTGCCACACGTCTTCCTCCACCAATTCTCCACCGTTTCAGGACTTCTTGGGCTCATTATGTTGCCTTGATGCTAGGCATCAGTCTTAGATGCCTAAACTTGCAAATCAAGAAGATATGGTTGCACAGCACAGTACAGCAAAGAACATGTGCCTGCTATTTTGACTGGTTCAAGCAGATCCCTCACATATCTGGAGAACCACTAGCACTACAGAATGTGACGTCCTGAGTTGTGTTCCGTCATTCTGTGAAGGTCATCTACTTTTTAACTATTTAAATTCCCCCTCACCATGGACCATTAGCTAAAATCACCGAATTTTGGTGTTGTGGAAATATGATATTTTTTGGGGAGTTTTCGGAGCCTACGGATAGAAGCCATCAGCCAGACATGTTTGAATACATCCTATCAGCATAACCACCACTTATCCTGGAGTTATACCTTTACTTTCCCATGCTAGGTCCGCCATTTGTTGACACCTGCCATCCCGGTAAATCCGCTTCCGTGAAAACCTCATTTTTACACCCTTCCTGTAGCTCATATGTACATGCCGACTATACTAAATCCTGGGTATAGACCTGATGCTCCAACCTGGATACAATTTTACCCAGCCCTAGCCCTCGGTATCGTATTTAGTGAGGTGGCCGACTATTGTGTTTATTGTCTTTTTTGGCATGCTGACGGAAATAAATTCACAGCTGTGCCGGGATGTCGCATAAATTGGGCCAAGTGGTATCAAACGAGTTTTAGGATGTATATCTTCCATTCCATGCCCAAACCCCCACAGAATTCAATGACGCTCTCCAGCATTGTCCAATGAAATCTAAGGTGGCCGACTAACCCCTCGTTGATAGTATTATTCAACTAGAACTTCACCATGATGTCAATTTCTTCCCTCTGAAGGTCAACCATCTTTTCTTTTGCGGTCGCCGACTCCAATGTGTCTCGCTCTCGCTGTGCGCCGCCAAGCCTTTGAGTGCTCCATATGAAATTTACTGGGCCCTAGCCCTATTTTCGTTCTGTTCGTGCCATTTATTACGTTGTACTATGGCACTACGTGAACTACGCTCCGGGTGTAAGTCGCTGTCGTTGGTTGGTTTTTTTTTTTTTTTTCCTCGGCCATTCTGAGTCCCCAACAGCACTGATGTGTCATGGTGAATGGATATTTGCACAAACAGCTTGTTCATAACTCTGCCCTTTCATGCGAACCAGGCGTCAATGTGCCCCAGTGCGTGCACCGCTCTGTCTCGGTGCACAGCCACCATGTGTCAAAGTTATCACCGACATTTACTGACGCAGCGAGATAAGTTTTGAGGAGAATGCATTATACAGCTCCAGTGTATCTCTGGTACTGCCTGGTAGCCACCAAAGGTCGCCATATACTGCCTTTACCAAGTTATTTGGAAAATAGTCATACAGTCTGACTTACTGTCTAGCCCACCCAGACCTCGAAATTACGCCCAAAGTGTCAAAATGCCTCCCTAATGGGTTCCTCGTGCCCAGTTCAATTAACAAAAGAGGGAAAAACCCAACAGGAAGGTCATCACTCATATTTACGACCTGTTCTGTCGAAATAGGTAAAACAACTTCCCACGGTTTGAACTCTCAAACTCCGAAATGGTGTCCTCTAGGTTTAATTATGACCTG